TTTTTTGGGTACTCCGTATGGAGCGGTTGCAGCAGCGCATAATTAAATTGAGGGGGATTGCTGAGATTTTATAGGATATTTGAATGAGATTTCACACAGCAAATAATTGTAATATAGCTATGAATTGCTTAGTGATCGCAGGCTGTAAGAGCTAAATATTGTGAAGTTCATGTAACTACTTTCTGATCGTGCAAATACACAACCTACTAATTGAACAGTTTTAAAGGAATAGTACACCCAAAACATGATTAGCCTTCATTTTCTACTCACCCCCATGCTGAACAACACTCTGGAGTACTTTTTTGATATCTCAAATGCATCTGGAGATCTAGGAGGCTTCTTGCTGTCTGCTGACATTCAAATAATGGAGGTCTACGGTGCCCGAGACAGAAAGGTCCATAAAAGTCCACAAAAACGTGTCAATATTCCTCCATACTGCTCGTCCAATGTATTCCAAGTGTCCTGAGTGGGTAGCATCCAGAATTTACTCGAAACGAAGTCATTTAGAATGTTTTTAGAGAAAATGAAGGCTAATCATGTTTTGGGTGTACTATTCCTTTAATGATCAAAGAAGAAGGCACTCTTTTCCAGAGTTAAAAATATAACATAGGTCACAGATTAGCAGACCAGGGTCAGAATCTGGACCCACCTGCTGGCTAATCCAGACCCATTCTGATTTAAAACATTTATAAATTACAGCATGTCGTCTGACAGCAGTGTCTAATTTGACTTGCGCCGCTTTTCCTGTTTGTACGGTAAAGCCCTCCAAAGCGTCCGGCACCAGGCTGCACGTGATACAAATTAGCCAATGAGCTGCTGTCAGTCTGGGTTGCTGCTGCTAGTTACGTTTAGACACAGCAGGCAAACCTGTGGCAAGCTGGGTGGGAAAGAGGTGGGAAAGAAGGAGAAGACAATGAGAACAAGGTAAAGAAAGTGTGGACTGCTGGAAGAATTGTGGTTAACTGGTTAAAGGAAAATAAAATGGTGTGCTCTAAGATGACCCTGCACATTTTAAATATGTTTGGCTCAACCTGCTGCTGTGAAACAAGATTCTCCACCATGAACATAATCACAAATAAACACCGTCCAGGCTTCAAATAAGCACCTTGCTATGTGTTTGAGAATGGCTTTGTTGCCCAGGTTTAAAGCTTTGCAGGTCAGCCTTAAGCCCACTGCTCTCATTAAGCAATAAAAAAGAAGCAGTCAGTTCAGTTGTTTTATTAAATATGAGAATCAGGAAATTGTCTACATATCAAACTGAATGATTGTTGCTCTCTACTTCAAAAAACCCTTCAGATTTTAAAATGGAAAAAAGATTTTTTTATTATTATTATTTACAAAGTCAATGTATAACATGGATGCATAAACACCTAATTTTATTTTAGTGTTAAATTCAGTTTAAGATAACAGATTAAAATTAAAAATGTCTCTGGACCTTTACTGGTTGTTGATTTTCTTTATTCGGACCCCACTGATTTTTAATTGCTTACCCCTGGAATATAGCATCATCCTCAACGTCTCTTAGATCATCATAATTTTTTCCTATTAGTATTTGATTATTAGAAGTATATATACTATGGTTAATATTTTGAGTAAAACTGTATCCTTCTTTATTTACTTTAGTTGACATAATATTAAATGTAACACACATCATGTGTGAACCCGAGCAAGACGGCTGGAACCTGAGCTAGATGGCTCCAGACAATTAACTTTTTTTTTTTGCACCGTGTTTTTTTTCTCCCACACTGTTTATATTTGATCACTGCTGCACTTTATGGAATGGAAATTTACTGTCTGAAAAGCTTTACAAAATTGTCATTTTGTGTACATTCTGTGTTTACAAAATGACAATAAAGGTTGTATAAGTCTAAGTTAATGAACAATCAGTCAATTAATGAATTAATCAATTAATGAACGGAACATTAGTGATCAGTGGCAGGAGTTAATTTCTCTTGAATCCTGTGCCTTTAAAAACCTCAGAGCGGTATTCACAAAAAATATGGTAGAGTGAGGCATACTTCTACATGTTCTATGTCTTAAAAGTAAAGCATACTGTAGATGTATTATATATTACACGTTTATTAAGCAAAACCTTTTATTTTGTGTATAGAATTGGACTGGCTGAAGGAATGATAAAACATTTCCGATCTAATGGACACTTTCATGTGCTACTTTGAATACTTTGGTTTTCATCAAACCAGTCATTCAGTATTTTTTGCATCTTGATACAAATCCAGTTAGAAGCTCCCAGTATGGGTCCCTATTAGGGCTGCAACTAACAATTATTTTGCAAATCGATTATCTGTCGATTATTTTTTCGATTTGTTGATTAATAGCCAAAGGTCCCTTAAAGTAGAATTTTTACAAAAATTAAACCAGATGAAAATAAAACTTTTCCAATAGAGGAGTTTTGGATCGGGCAAACTGACAGAGTGTTTTTATCTTCATGCAAAATATTTACATGTTTTTTTTTACAATATTGGTATAATTGCTGCTCTAAATGGAATGCTCTGTCAGCTACAGGTGTGTATTAAGAGTCTCTACGTTCCAGTTAATGATTAATCGATTACTGAATTAGTTGACGATTATTGTAATAATAATCGATTAATCGTGATAAATCCTATTGTTTAAGCCTTACTGCCCTTACTGTTTTCCATCAAAGCCACAGCTTTTAATATTAACTGCAGCCCAGATGATAGTTCCTCTGCTCTCTGCTCCTCATGATGACGCTGGTGATGCAGCTTAAACCTCCATGTAATTCATTGCAGGCTGAACAACAGTGTTCAGATTTAAACTTAAAACAAGCTGATTTTGTTGTAGGCCTTAACTTCAGCCTGTGGTCATGCTGCTTCAACAGCTTTCTGTGCAAACACACAGCACAGATGTTCTGCAATGGGGTGTGTGCCTGTTGTAGTCATTTTCTGGCAATGAATTTTGCGTGAGCCAAAATATATTTTTAAGGCTTGTTTTTCCTTTGATTAGCTTTCAGAGTATGGTAGAGCAGGTGAATAAAGTGGTTGTTTTTGTCCATACTCTCCTGTCTCTAGTAGTGCGTCAGTGAAATTAGAGAATAAAGTAGCCACACATTTTAGAGATGCATAAAGCCAGTTTGATTAACAGGAGAATGCACAAATCAGGCAGGAATACTGCAGTCTGACTTTGGAACAAGAAACTAAAAAATATAAATCAAGAATCATCAACACTGCTGGGGGGGTTAAGAAATCACTTAATCTTCCATTATAGTTTATAGCGGTTTTCATCTACTTTATTAATCACACAAGCTACGAAAATCACTCAAAATAAACTCTACGGTAATGTTTACAATGTTTATATCTTCAAAGTCAAACAAATGAGGAATTATGGAAAAGAGCAAAGGCAAGCTCCAGTACTAATAAAGTCATCTGACAGGCTTCCATCCATATATCACCCATCATATATCGGACTCGACTTAAGAGGAAAGGAGATCGGGCCTTCTCTGTTGTTACTCCAGTTCTGTGGAACCGTTTACCTCTTCAAAGGAAATCTGCCCACAGCCTGGATCATTTTAAATCGCTTCTTAAACCTTATTTTAATTCTCCAGCTTTTAATTGAAGCAGTGCTTCACATTCTGTTTTGTTAATTGGTGTCTTTCCTGTAAAGCACTTTGGTGCAGTTTTATACCTGTTTTTAAAGTCCTATATAAATAAATTTGACATTGACATAGACATTGACACTCCTTCACATAAAGTTAACAGTCATAGCTAGTTTTTTTTTTTTATCAAAAGAATGCATTTATCAAAAATAATACATTCACAAAACATTTAGAGTGGTGCGAAATAAACATATCAATTTTACTGAAAAGAGAAAATATTGCCTATATAAATAATTGTTTTATAAATTTTGAAGGGTCCAAAATAAATGAATATATATTTCTTGCCACTTGAGGAAATAAAGTGATTTAGAGGCTTCACCATGGAGGCTGCTGCTTTTCTCCTGAGCAGGTAAATGTTTGCATTAGCAGACCTGGCAACCAACAGTAAGGAGAGCAAATACTGGCCACAAGTTACACTTAGCAACAAAACACCAGATACAAAAAGAGAAGAGAATAATAATTTTAAAAAGTAAGCAAAGAAAATAAAGAATATATATGTTTTATGCATTAAGAATAAAATGTAAAATATTAAGAGTAAGCACAAACAATGCAGTGAAAAAAACACGGAAAATAAGTAATTAAAGTAATTATTTAAAAATTAAAAATCTAAAAGGAGATATTTTCAATGAAGGATAAATTTTAGTATTCTAAATTAAAAATATAAATTCAAAAATAAAGCAATAGCAAGTCAGAGGAAAAGACAAAAAGGAAAATTTGTATGTCGTAAAAATTAGTTATAAATAAATAAAAAATTGAAGTAAAAAACAAACAAAAAATATATATATGCGTCATTTAATTCTCTTATGCTCTTCGTATCAGATGGTAACTTTGTTTACAACTATTTAATATAAAGTTTAAAAAGTTTGAAGCCTTCCAGCCTTTTCAATTCTAGATAATTTTCCTAAAGTTTGTAATTTTCGTTTGCTTTAAGTAGTTAAATAAATAAAATGTTAAGAAAACAAAAGGTGAAGTGTCTGGTTACCAAACATCTACAGGAAGAAGAAAAGGAGGGTGGGATGAGGAGGAGTTGGCAAAGATGTTGTCATGGTTACAAGCAGCCTGCCTGCTGGGGGTAATGATGTAACATTTCCTCACTGTCCTTCTCTGGCATGGAGGAGACAAACAAAGGGGATGTCTCCACTGAAAATCTGAGCCAGTCAAACTTCTTTGTGCGTTCTTGGCCATTTTAAGTCAGCTGTTCTGTTTAACTTATATATAAAACATCTGTTTTACCATAACACCATCTTATTTACAAGTTTCCTTAAAACTGCTGCTAATTGTTTCCCAGGAAAAGGCTGTAGAGGTTGATTCCTACCACATGGGGGCGACATTCACCTCTTAGTGTTAATAAGGTGGAACAACTAGAAGCACAAGGAGGACAGACTTTATTGTGAGCAGGTCATGGAAAATAATGCATTGTGAAAATATACACAAAGTTTCAGCAGAAAATACAAGAAAATAAATCATTTAAAATCTGCAATATTTTGGCCCAAAAATCTACAAAATAAACCGCAACATTTTCTTTGGTTATTTATTATTATCATTATTATTATTTAAATGTCTTTATCTGAGCGGAACAGAGCAGATTTAACAAATCCAGCTGCTTAGATTGTCTTCATCAGTACTGTTGCATAATCACAGAACAACGAACAAGATAAAGATGTTTCCTCAGGTAGCTGCTTCGCTCCTCTGGCTGAACAACACCTCCACCACCTTGGGGTCTGACAGAGTAGAGAGGTCCCCCAGGTCCCTCTCATTGCGAGCAACTTGGCGGAGTATTCGCCTCATTATCTTTCCTGAGGAGGAGGGAGGAGCAGAGGATGAGCATTTCAGAGGAAAACAAAGGAGGCCAGAGGGAGGAAGAGGTTGCAGGAGGTACCTGAGCGCGTCTTTGGCAGTGCTGGGGCGTTTTGAATGAAGTCTGGCGTGGCAATTGGTCCGATTTTCTCTCTTACTAAAGTAGTAGGAAGAAGATGTATATTTAACATATATTCAGAATTAATCAAAGATAAATTCTGAATATATACTAATGTAATAATCAGGAAAAAAATCAGCCAAACCAATCCTTCAGTGAACTCCAACTCTGTATACTAGAAACTCTGTTGTAGCAGCATTAAAACAGCTAGCAATTTGTTTTTTTATTTAAAACACAAAAAAAATAGCAACAAAAAACAATTATTCTCTCCGTTTAAAGCAGAGTACATATGTGACATCTGATCTGTCATTTTGTTCTTTAGAGAATTAAAATGTTTTTCTCTGCCATAGCAGAGTCCAAACGTAGACTTGATCCTCTCTGTCAAACATCTTCATAACGCCACAGCTCCTCATAGCTAGTTGTTTTTTCCACATGGACTAGATTGACTTTTATTTTCGACGGAGAGCAAAATGCATGGATGACAGAATCTTTTTGAACTCTGTGTTACACTGCATCCATCTTGGCTCCACGCTGGTACAAGCTCTGCAGTAAATAGGCATCCATTACATACAAAGAGAGTGTCAGCAGTCTCTGCAGGGCCACACCAGAGACAGAAATGTCCAAAAATATCCATAGAAAGAAAATGTTCTCGAAGGCCTTATAAGTTCAATAACTATAAAATTATATCTAGAATGCCTAGTAAATAGAGAGCCACCGACCCAATACCTTGATCAAATATCGGCTTTCATATTGACTAATTAGCTGGATTTGATTTCAGCGGTTTGATATCAAATATTGGAGATCTGATGCAGTGCACTTCATAGGAATTGGTATTTCTTTCTTTTTGTTGCTTATCTGTTAGTAAATAATATAAAGTACATTTACATCTGTGTTCATTTGTTACCTTTTTGTATTGTTTATGTGAAGAATCTGTATCAGATATGGGCCGATACGCTCAGGCCAGGTATCGGATTGGATTGGAAGAAAACTGGATGGGTGCACCTCTACTAGTAGGTTATGGACCAGATATGTTTTCAACATAATGTGTTGATTAATGTATCCTTTATGTGTTTATTTAGCCTCTTAAAACCCACCAGGTTAAAACCTGCCTTTTCTCAAGAATGTCTTTATTACTGCTGTTCAAAAAAGACCTATCATTTCTGAGAATAATAAAAACAACAACTTTGAGTCATGTTTGGACTGATGCAGGTCGGTCTGTGTTCTAGTCACCCAATTTATATATTAGGAAACTAGAGGGTTAGCTTTCAAAAAATGTATTGCACATGTAATTTGGGCTTACAGTTCCTAAGTTATTTGCTTTTCCATTTGGGTATGCAAAATAGGCGAGGATTATCCAAAATGAGGTGGATGTTAAGAGGTTAAAAGCATATCATAGATACCAGGCTATAGTAAAATCACTGCCATTTAAAAGATTCATTCCTGGCTGGTTTTTGAGTCATTTTCTTAGTCTTAACAAAACATGTAAGCCTTGTTCTTAAAAAAACAATATTTCACAGGAATAATACAATTAATTAATTAATTATTATTAATATTTGAGTCACAGCCTCACCCATTTTCTTGAGCTCCTCCACCATCTTCTTGTCGAACTCCCTTCTGTCTTTGAGAGTGACAAAGCAGTAGAGGCATTCTCCCTTCACCTTGTGAGGTCGGCTCACCACAGCAGCCTCCGACACGTCTGGATGCAGCGTCAGCGCCGCCTCCACCTCCGCTGTGCTCAGAAGGTGGCCTGGAGGACGACAACAAAGTCACCAACTAAAAGACTTCAACTATCCCATTTGCTGGCCTTTTGAAGCAGACTTACCCGACACGTTCAACATGTCGTCTATCCTCCCTGTGATCCAGAAGTACCCATCTTTATCCCGCCTGCCACCTGAAAAGAAGAGAAAAACAAACTCGATGACCTCCAGAAGAGAGTTGAAGGTTGAAGCGTGAAGGTTTCTCTTTAATGTCTCACCATCACCAGTCACATAAAAGCCTGGAAATTTTTTGAAGTAGATGTTTTCGAAGCGCTCGTGGTTTTCATAAACTGTGCGCATTATTCCCGGCCAGGGTTTTCTAAAAACCTACAAACAGCAAGAGGGATGTATCACATAAAATAAAGAATAAAATTCAAATATAGTTATTAATTAATTAATAAATTTTTTTTTTTTGCTGTATCTAACAAAAAAATAACAACAACAAAAGGTCAGATATAAGATCTGAAATGCACTGTTCTGGTGGGAAGCTTCTGTATTTATTATAATTAAGAAATAAAATAAAAAAATTACCAGATAACCTTCAGCCTCGCCTTCCACTTCCTCTCCATGTTCATTCAGGATGGTGGGCTCTACTCCGAAGAAAGGAAAGGTCTGAAACATGAGTTGAGATTACTCAGTTTTTTCATTTAGAAGGTCCAGTATAGCTTCAGAACCTCTCAGAGGTCCACACACCCCTGTTAACATTCCAATCAAAAATTAAATGCTGTTTTTTAATTCATGCAGTTCTTTAAAGAGTGGATTTAACATGATGAAAGATCCTATGAGCAGGAAGGATCTCCTGTAGAGGTCTGTATCGCAGCTGATCTGAATACACTGAAGCCAGAGAGAACCAGCTACGTAGAACCCACTCCGTGCATAAAGAACCCATGATGGGATTACAGACCAGAACCTTCTCGCTGCAAGACAACATTTCTACCCAATGCCATACCATTAGTTTAACAATGTTTGAAGCCTACGTAGCATTGAAAAAATTGAGCTAAGAGATCATGAGGAAAATCAGTTCATGCCTGGTTTTCTAATGAGGAAGAAAACAACAAGCAAACTGAGGAGCATTAACAGGAAAAATTTCCATATAAATCATTAGTGTTCAGATAATTTTTCTACATGTACTGCAGCTATTATATGTAAGTAAATAGAACAAATCTAAAACAAAAAAAAAATCTCATATACCTAATTCATTATTTACTCAATGCAACAAATCAGTAAAAAAAATAAAATAAAAATACAAAAACGAAGCAGTTACAAATGTTCTGGCAATATTCTGTTTGTTTATATATTTTAACTGAGAATATCAGAGTTAGTGTGACTTACAGCTGATCCTGGTTTCAGAGGTGTGGCGGCTGGTAGAGGTGTCAGCACATGACCTCCCTGCAGGAGATTTAAAAACAACATAACTAATATATCATAAACTAAATCTATCTACAGGTATACAAAAGTAACCTTTAATCTAGTTCTAACCAGTTAGCTCCAGGTTTGGTTGCACGATATAAAAGAAATCACAGTTGACATCATTACAGTTTTTTTTTTTTATAATTTCACTAAGATGCAACATTTGGTATCAGATTCTGGATGCCACTAGACCAGGGGTCTGCAGCCTTCACAGGCCAAACAGCCGTCCTTTCCTCTGTCAAGCTAAACAAAAATACTTAGATCAGCACATGTTGTGAGCTTCTGGATGAAGGATATAATTTTTGGTAAATATCTACACAAGACAATAGATCTTTATTTTTAGGGGGAAACAATTTCATATTATTTTTAGGTTTAAAAATAGATTATTTATTTATTTATTTGTAAAATAACAGATGAACACATTCTGGAGAATGTTGTAGCAAAGGCTATTTTTCCAGCCCAATGGCCAGAGAAATAGATTTTTTTAAACAAAGGTGCACCATTAATCTCAGTTTCCCCTATTTTCTTAAATTCTTCACAAAAATGATCTTATCTTGCTCTGCAAAGGCCATTATCATGTTCTAAAACGTTTTATTTAAATTTGAAAGCATTATATCTCGTGCAGTGAAAACAAGTATCTGTTGTTTAATGGTTGTTGCTTTTAATATAATAAGATTGAAACATTGAAGATGTATTTTGATCTTGTGAAACTGTGATAATCGGCTAAAATGTGATTCGGCATACTGGACTGTTTAAGAATCAGTAATCTTCGCACCCCCACTACAAACATTAGGGGAACCTTTATGGTCCTTCTTATGCGCAGATTCTGAGCAGGTATTTGGTTCTTAAAAGAAAAATACTTAAAACTTTTAAAATATGTTAAAACATTAACAGGTTTCTCAAGTTATCAAGAGCATCTGCAGAAGGTCCAAAGAGCCAGAGGTTAGTGATCCCTGCACTAGAATCTCATTCAACAGATTACAACATGTGTTCGTTCATCATATTAGAAATGCTTTCAGAAATAACCTTTAGAAAGATAACGAACACTTTGTTTATGAAGGTCGCCTTTCTGTATAAAAATAGTACATTTTATTGCTCTAAAAAAAATCTAATCTTGAATGTAATTGTAATCAAAATTAATCATAATTGGCATTAATAGGGTTTGAAAACATGAGTATAAACATGTTTTATTTAGTGAATAATCTGTTTGATGATATTCTGATTTAATGCATATGGATAACGGATGGGCTTTCACTATACTTAGTGAATACATCTGATTAGTAAACCTTAAGAAACTGGGAGGGAACCCTGAAAATAATATAATCAGTATTGCCTCGCCAACAATCTCAGAAGATAAGTTTTCCTGATATTTAGTTCTGAGTGTGGGAATGATTCAGAGGGAGCCTCACCGTCTCAGTCTGCCAGAAGGTGTCGACCACAGGACACCTACCCTGACCCACCTCCTCGTAGTACCACTGCCATGCCTCAGGATTGATGGGCTCGCCAACACTACCCAGAATCCTCAGGCTGGAGAGGTCATACCTGGCAACACAGCAACGGATGGACTTCAAAAGGTCATAAGGTCATGTTTCATACTTATCATACAGCCTGACTTTACATCTCTGATGTGTGAACTTGTGAAACCATTTACTCTTTAGAGCCCATTTGAATACTTGAAGAAATCCTTTTAATAATCTGGATCTTTCCTCAACTTGCTGCTGTGGCTGGACTGTGAGGAGGTAAAAACTGAATAAGAGATCGAATAAAATTTTTTTAAGCAGATCCTGAAATTGATAAAAGACCAGTAGGATGTGATCATGTAACTTTAAGGCTGAGCTTTTAATGTTTAAAGAGAGTTAAAAAATAAAAATAAAAAAATAACAAAACAGATGCATAAAATTTTAAATACTAATTTGTTGATAAACCTCTAGTTCAAACATAATGTTTCAAAAATGCAAATGAATAATACTGTAGATGATTTTTCAAAAATCAAATAAAAATACATTAAATACATTAAATGTGACAAAGTCAAAAAATAAATAAAGAAAAGATAAACTGTTGATAACTATATAAAATATAAAAAAAACTGATATAAGACACAATTTCCTGAGTTCTTGAGAAAAATTATTAACAGAAAAAGTTATTAACAGAAAAAGAAATTGAATAATATGTTGTATAATATAATTGTTGTAAAATACTGAAAGAAAGTGAAAGTAGTAAAAAAAAAATATATATTTTTTTTTTCTACTGCATTTTGCAGGGTGCCAAATCGCTCTGGCTCAGGGGAGATATAGGTGGCGGCATGACCTAGTGCTCCGAATGATGGCTGACGTTTTCAAGCAGGCCAGGAGAAGACCTCAGCCGACTAAGCCACAAGTACCATCAATGCAATTCGTCAGGGAAGGAGAAAAGCCATCTTCTAGTGAAAGGACCAAGATCCTCCAGTGGGCACAGGGGTGGAGATGACAGTCGATCTGGGGAAGAAGCTCACATTCCCACCCATCGTCCAGACCACCTTGAGGTCTGACGTTGTCATCTGGTCAGAGCAAGCTAAGAAAATCACCCTGGTGGAACTGAGTGTGCTTTGGGAGGAAGAACCTAAAATACCAGGAGCTCATCATGGACTGCAAAGACAAAGGCTGGCAAGCATGGCTGTTTCCAGTGGAGGTCGGGTGCAGAGGATTCCTAACACAGTCAGTGTGGTCTGTGCTCACTGCACTTGGCATATCTGGCAAGGAAAGGAAGACAGCTGTGCACAGGATTGGGGAGGCAGCAGAGAGAGCCTCATGCTGTTTGTGGTTTAAGAGGGAGGAGGGGGGCCTGGATATGATGGGCAGTGACCTGGCCACCACTGCTGACCCGCCAGCTGGAGGATGTAGCCGTTAAGGGTCGAAACACCCCGTGAAGGTTGGGCACCGTTTGATGACATCAGCTCCAGGTCAAAAGCCACCAACAGTCACATTAGGGAGTGGCTGTATGCATAGCATCACATGATGTATTCAACAAGTTTTTGCAATGCTCTGAACTTCCATATCAATTTAGTTTTGCAACATGATTTTCTCGCACATTGTTTCCATTTGATCACTGCTGCACTTTATGAAATGGAAATGATCATTTCACTGCTAAGCTGCTGCTAATTTACTGCCTGAAAGCTTTACATAACCAAGGTTCGTATACACAGAGTGCATACAAAACAACACTAAAAGTTATCTAAGTATAAAATAAAATAAAAATATAAAGACATGGAAAAATATAAGAAAATTAATCAATGAAAAAGAGATTAGTTATTATGAAAGTAAGAAAAAAATTGATTTATAAAAATTAGGGGGAAAAAAAAGCTAAAAATTAGAAAAGCAGCTAAACGATTATTTCTGTAGAGGGATAAAATATTATCAAGTGAAAAAGAGAATAAATATAAATTTTTTATAAATCAACAAAATTTTGGAAAAGAAATGTTTAACTTTTAATATTATTGTTGGAAATGAATCGAAAGGAAATAATAAAACTCAGATTTTTTTCTAAAGTAAAAAAAATCATCTCTTGGTTCCCCTCTAGCAGAAACACTTTGAAAGCAAATATTCAGTCCAAACTACAGAAGGTCTGAGCTCTAAATCATTAACTCACTTCTGCAGGGGTTCTTGTCCGTACTTCATCAGCAGGCGGATGGCCGTGGGAGCCGTGTAAAACTTGGTCACCCTGTATTTTTCTATGATCTCCCAGAACCGGCCGACGTGCGGGTGAACTGGGATCCCTTCGAACTGAAACCACATTGATTTCATGGTGAGTGGGGATTGGTTTGGATTTGCTTCCTGGTGCCAGAACGATGAGCTGACGTAGACTCACGAGGACGCTGGAGGCGCCATTTGCCAGAGGGCCGTAGGTGATGTAGGAGTGACCTGTGATCCATCCGATGTCTGCCGTGCACCAGTACACGTCGTGGGGTTGATGATCAAAAACACATTTGAAGGTGAGGAAGGTGTAGAGCAGATAGCCAGCGACAGTGTGAACCACTCCCTGTTGGGATTATAAGTCAGGCAGAGCTGACGTCAACAGTCTAACATCAACACTGAATTTGGAAAAGTCTAGCAGTTTGCAAAACTCATCATGCATCTAAATCTAGTAGAAACCTGAATGCATTTAATTTGAATTTTAATGAGATAAGCCAACATAAAGTAGTGCAGGAAAAAGATGGAAGGGAAATGGCAAAAAAAAAAACTTTGATGCACCTAAATAAATAAAACACAGCATCCAATGCAAAGCAGCTAGTCTTCGAAGGGATCAGAGGTTTGTTAGAAAGCTTTAGAGAACAAACTGCATCATTAGGACCAAGCAGGCTGGAGGACAGGTTGGAGAGTATTACAGTATAGCTGAGGTAGGAGCTAATAATATGCATATATTTAATATGTTCCCTGTTAATAAAGAAACTCTGATTGTGCAAGAAACCCCCTTTGAGACTGTAAAAGACTAAAGAGTAGTTGAAACGGTCCAGTCAAAGCTCAGATCTAAAGCCTATTAATCAGAAGTCTTAACACTGACTGAGCAGCTAAAATATTACAGACATGAGGGATGAATACAGATGCTTTCCACCGTGTTTCTTTAAATAAAAATTGTGTCATTTTTCTTCCATTTTAAAAGAAAGTTCAGTTTTGATTACATTTATACAAAAAGTGATTAAAAAAAAACCTCAAAGGCAGCATTATTCCATTACTTTAGGTTTGCCGGTGGAGCCGCTGGTGTAGAGGATGAAGAGCGGATCCTCAGCATCCAGCCATTCAGGTTCACACTCCTCAGAGGAGTCGCTCATCGCCTCGTCCCACCACACGTCTCGGTCTGAGTCCCAGGAGGTCTGCACAAACACAGAGCAAATCATTAACAGGGTATGCAGGTTTTTATTTCATTCTCTAAAGTTTATATGCTTATATCTAAATGTCAGGCAATTGAATTTAAAAAAATGTTTTCTAGTGCTTTTAAATAGAGCAGGAATGTTTTGGAGTAGGTGGGCATCACAAAACATTCGCCATAAATGGCAACAGTTAAAAAAATGTAGCTAAACTGAGGTTTTCTGATGGTTTTTATTGTTATTTATATCTGCAAATGTCAGGTGTTTCACAGACAACAATCTCAATATTTGTTATTTTGCATATTCTTCATATTATTATAATAATAATTATTATTAACCTTCATTTATACAGCTAGTTCTGCTGGAGTTTAGAGCAAAGAATATAAAAGAGAAAATCCACTTCATAGGAGCTGATTTTTTCCCCCTGAGGCTATAAAAAACATGCCAACCTGTAGCTTGTTACAAGACGTCCCTGTTTTCGTCCTGAGCATGTGATGCTTGATGACCAGGCACTTGGTGACACTGGACGACCCTCTGTGAGAAAACAAAGAGTAAAACAAAAAGGATGGGAGTAAATGAGCAGCTCTGCTTTTGGGAATTTCAACACTCTGGCATTAATTGGTTCACTGAGGTTTGTTTACCTCACATGTTCTTGTAACTTCCTTAAAACCTAGTTGCAGTTTCTCAACTTTTCAGGGTCAATGAAACATAATGATCATTTATGAGGAATATCACATGTATAAATATTGATAACACAAATATTGACAAATAAAAGAGTAATACCCAGTTTGTAAGGGACTCGGATTTTAGCTAAAGATCATTTTTTATCTGATTCTTTCAGGTCCCATCAGCCCTTATCAGTGTTTTGTTCCAGTCTTTTGTTTTCAACCAACATCTGCTCCAGTGTGTCCATCTGATGATAACCTTTCCCTGCATGCTCTGCCTTTTTGCTCTCGTCCCTCTCTGACTCTCGTTCCCATTGGAGACGAGCAGCTTGGGCTTTTCCTGATGGGTTTAAGTGCTTTATGTTGCCCGGCAACCTGGTAATCTAAAAGCCCAGCGGTGTGTTGTTTCCAGCCACTCTGATAACAGCTGACTGCCCCCTGAATGTGTGTGTGTGTGTGACTCATTTTCCAGGGAACAAGTCCCATTATCAGGAGCAGCTTATGTAAAATACGTCTGGTTGCTGGGAACTGGGTATATAATTTCTGACCGTATGCGGGGGGACCTACTTTTCCCTGCACTTCTCCAGCGCCTCGTCAGAGATCTGCTTCAGGTTGATCAGTTTGTCTCCTCTGTAAACACCATCTGTGTGTGAGGGATGTACAGTCAGAAGGAGAAGCATATAATGAGGTGTGACACACAACAGATGAGCATCATTTAAGCCCCCTGGTGCTGCAGCATAAAATAATGTCCTTGTGACGCACATGCTTGAAACCAACGTACCTGCTGTGACCAGAACGCTGCTTTGGGCGTCCATGATTCTCTCACACAGAGACTCTGAGGAGAATCCTGCAAACTAAACAGAGAGGAAAAATAACATCAGAATCTGCATATTTATTATCTTATTCTTATGTCTAATTAAAGAAATTTGCTCCTTTAAATAAAATAAACTTGAGACTTGTGTGATATTCGTGCCCTAAACTGTTGGTTTTACCTCCTACTCCAGTGTGTTGAACACTAATTAAATGGATTTCAAGCCAACTGATTGTATTGTTAGTTGAATTAGTCATTAGTCAGCTGAGTGTTGGAGTTTTCCCATCAGCTCTGCTTTGTTTTGACTGCTCTCCTACAGAGCCTGCATACTTAGAGTAGTGCAAACAGGCTGCAGCTGAGCGTTTGCTTTCAATACGGGAACTCTCTTTTATGTTGCTGTGGTTGTCTACATTTCCTGTTTTGAATGAATATATTGGTCTATACCAGGGGGAAGTGGCCAGTGGATCCTCCCTGCCAGTCTATTCAAATAGTTACCCTTAGATGAGATAAAGAAATATTATAAAGCTTGATTGCAAACATTGAGTTATTAAAGGATTCCCACCTAAACTAGAATGCAACTCTTTCATTTCATTTCAAGGCACTTTACAGAGACAATTCAACCAGATCGTGCAGTCACATTGTTTCAAAGTTTTCCATCTAAGGAAAACCAGCTAAATGCATCAACTCATTGACTAAAAGGCAATCCCTCACACCAATCATGCTTGGAGTGACAGTGGAGAGGAAAACTCCCTTTTAACAGGAAGAAACCTCCAGCAGCACCAGGCTGAGTGTAAGCGGCCATCTGCCGAGGCTGACTGGGGTTTAAGGAGACAGAAGCAGACATATGCCGATTTCAGACGCAGGAAACGACAGACGATGAGGCTCATAACACTGCTAAGCAGAATCATCTCTGGAAATCGTGTGGCATGGTAGGAAAACTGTTATTTGTATGAATGTCTGAAGTTTCATGATTACGGAGGCTGACTGTAAGGAGGTGACGCGGTCTGCTCATGCGCTCTTTGTTATCTGAGAACCATGCCTCAACTGACCAGCACCGGCCCTATTGATAAACTAGTACCAGTTTAGCGTGGTTCATTTATGTCTGGCGCAGTACATTTACATTCAACAGTTATCTCTGTTACCGTGCTTGGACCAGCACGGTTTCAAAGAGGTAGTGTAAATGGGGATATAGAAAAATAAGCACCGATACAAAAAGTAGTTTGTTAACTATTGCAGGCCTTTTTATTGGCCAGCTGACCCCAAGGTCCACCGCTGCTTTCTTTGCTCTTTGCTCCATTTCTCTATTTTATTTTTTGTAACTACAGTCCCAAAGCCTTAGAATTGCCACTATAACTATTTCCAAAGTGATAGATATACTTTTTCTTTTATTTCTCGTGTATTCTTGGGTTGATGTGTTACGTTTTAAGATCTTTTAGCCAACGGTACTTCGTGTTGTCATATAGGTTCTGTTTAAATGTAACTTGATTCAGACAGTGGATTAGGCCTGTGTGTAACTACTGAAATTGTAACTGGTGGTTAAACACAGCTAGTTTATGATTATATATATTTTTACATAAGTCCAGGCTAGTGGATAACTTTTCCGCCTTTAAGTTTGACCCATGATCTTAAACATTCAGGTGAGGGAAAATAATGCAAACGATTAGAAAACTATAAGCGGATGAATACTTTTACTTTTTTACATTTTATAAGTCACAAAAACATAAAAACAATTTTTCTTCTTTTCTGCTTCTTAAAATCTAATATCCGCTTTAATAAAGCCAACAGTATTAACCATTAACCTTTTAATACTAGTCATCTACTGCTGTAAGAATGACGACTTCAAAAAACATAATTCCAACATCTTTGCAAATGTATTCATTTACAGAAAAGGAAGTGAACGCAATTCTGTTATATAGGAGGAAAACAATAAAATGATTTTCTGGAACAATATCTGTTTAATAACAGAGTTATAGTCAATATCACATCGCTCACTTAGAGAAATGGAGTACTGAGGGATGTTTTTCAGAGTTGCCCTCTAGTGGCCATAAAAAAACGTTTTCACTGTGATGCTCCCTGTGGGCTTTTACCTCAGGAGCCTGCTTGCATCATTTAGTCAGTGGTCTCCATTTTTTATTTTTGTCTCATTTGCCAGAGCGGCGAGTCAAATTTTGTACCTGCTTATTAACAGACTAAGCAGTATTATTTTAAGTAAGCAAATAAAGTAGTCCCTATAAAAGATGTGTAAACCCCCATAGATCTATAACTTCAAATTTCAATCTTAGTTTGAAAATCTTCACAAATCATTATTAAAAAAAAAGTCTTTATCTGCATAAACTGCTGGAGGGCCAAATATGCATCATTTTTGACTTGAAGTCAGGGGTTAGATTTCGGACACCGGTGGTTATATTGTATATCTTTGATACTCTGCAGCAGGGGCGTTGCTAGGCACAAAGCTTTACTGGGGCACTGGCCCCCTAGTGCATATGCCCCTCCTTCCATACATAAATACAGACAAGCACACTGCCCAACCCTGATACATTCCTACCAAAATTACCAGTTGAGATATTAATAAGTGCAAGAGCATATTTGTTTTAACAAACATGAACATTTTCAACATTGCAGCTATAAAAAAATAAGACATCACCAACTTTAAAAATAAAACGTTTCCTTATACACATTCTGAAGTAATCATTAATTTCTAGGTTTCAGAGTTTTAGTTAGGGGGAAATGTTAACTCATCCTGAACTAAGTTCAGGATGAGTTAATTTTTTGAGCATTAAAGTGTACCTCCTATTTATCATTTTTGCAAAGTGGTCAATCACTTGACTGTGACTCAGCTTAGAAAGTTCTTCCTTTTCAACTGATAAAATAGCCAGATGATGGAGCTAGTCTTGTCCCATTGTGCACCTCAGCCAAGTGTGGAACCTTCTCAACAAACTGAATGACCTTTCACAACTACAGCTAATGATTGTGATTGTGAGGGAGATCTGGATGACCTGCGTTAGTGTTGGGAATATGATGTTATCAAGCAAGTTGAAAACACACTGCATATCCTTGATGACAAGGCTTTCTTTTTCAACCATAAAAAGCTTTCAAACCATTTTGAATTAAACAAACGTTTTTTTACTCCAAATTTGTGCTGGGGATAGTGGGATAACTTCACTTGTTTAGGACCATCATGCTTTCCCCCTAAGTCACTAATGTCCCCTTCTTATTTGTGGAGGCTGGTTGTTGCTCCCTCATCACCTTCATGGTCCTGTATCTCCTGTCTCTCACCTGTCTCTTGCCTGTCAGTCTCGCCTCATCCTCCCTTTCCTACTCCAGCACCTTCATTCTCATTCTCTACAGCAAACATTAAAAAAACGTAAATCTATAATTATGTAAATATCAATCATATTGCTTATAACGTCCCTAATGTAACTGCTTAGCTTAAATCACTAATTCATTACGGGACCTTACCTCCCTCTCTCATCTTGTTTTACTGCTTCCCTGTCTCTGCTTCGTGTGAGGAATTTTCTGATGTCAATCTACAAACCAATGCAGTAATTTTCAGTTAGTAGCCTATAAATCATGTGGTTTCACTGGGAAAATAATAAAATTGACAGGTAAGAAACATTACCAGAACTAAAAATGCGTCGCGGCCGCACAGTGTCCCATCCAACTCAGTTGAGAGCAGCGCGTTAATTTACCTGCAGTTCATGCAATGACATGCGCTGACGTGGGGGCGCTAATACATCCTCAATTTGGAGTTAACGACACACTTGCTGCACGTTGGAATTATCTAAATTGATGCATTAAAAAATGTAATACTGTTGCAAATATTCATGAGATTTATACTGGGGCACAGCTCATTTATACTGGGGCACGTGCCCCAGTAAATGGGGTCTGGCGACGCCGATGCTCTGCAGTTAGCAGCTTAAAAGCTCTTTTAAGAACAGGATTAATCTGATAAAAATAAATAAATATGTTAAATGTCCTGTTCTGCATAAGTAAAGAAATTCCCTTCTAGTGACTGTTATTCGTACAACCAATTCATCTGCTCTAATTTTCAATTCCACGTAGACAAAAGTCACCTATGTGAGCAGGAAGAATAAACTGAATATATTTTTTCACTGTAATAAAGCCCAAATATAACATAGAAAATAAGATGAATTAATAATTGATTGCACTCAAAATCTTTTAAAAAATGTTTTCCTCCCCTTCTGATATAACATTTCTAATAAATGCCCCAGAAAAAACTAATTGAATTTATAATTAAAATGTTTAAAGAATGAAATAAATGTACTTAATTTATATTTTAAATAAGTATCAACTACTAATGCTGAGAAGCTCTGTTTTTTCCTTTCTGAATGTTATTCTTAATAACCGCTTGGCATTAAATATTCCTTATCTCTTCCTACATATATCCATATTTTTATGTTCCAGTTAATATAGTTTATTAATTAATAATAATCATTTATTACTTTTTTTGTTTCCTTTGTTAATGTTAACTCTGCTTCTGTTTTTTTTTTTTATACTTATCAATGTTTCATGTTATAATTTACAATGGAAGCGACATCATTTTATTTTAATCGCTAATTTGCACAAATGATATATTCTGTAGTTCTTCTTGAGTTGGAAGTATATGTTTGTGGATATACTTGTCAACATTTGATTTTTTTTATTTTATGGTTTTTTGTTTTCTATTCTATCTTATTATATCTGTTCTGCATAAGTTTGTGTTGCTAATATACAGTTTCTTACTCTCCAATGTAGTTTGATGAGTTTGGTCTTTGCTAAGTAAAAAAAATAAAATTATATATATGTAAAAACAGAAGTTTTAATTCTTAAAATGCATTCAGGTCCGAGAACAGGGTCTTATCAGACTCAGCCAAGCAGTTATATATAGCTGATTCAGCTATGGCAAATTTCTCCCCCCCTCATCTCCATTTATAGATGAGTAACCTTGTTCGATCTTACATAATGGGCCAGCCGTCCATTAAATGCTCTTTTAGTCAACTGCCATTTGCCTTCTCCTTTGCCTGACGCTTGTTCCCAGGCCAAGGTTAATAGTTCATGGGGTGTGAGGTTTCAGCTTTGATAACAGCACTATGATTCAGGTCACGAAGGACTCTGGACTCAGCAAAATGTCACTGTGTTGGCTTGTCTTAGCCTGCCTTTATGATTATTAATTTGAAATAATCAAATTTAAACCCAACAAATTCACAAAATCCTTGCTTGTATAATATTGTTCATGTGAGACATGATTAAACCTTTGAGACACAGACAAGGTCATTGAATCCAGTCAGCCAAAATCAGGCCTTTGTTGGTCATACAGAGTCCACCTTGGAGGGTTGCAGATATTTTTAACACAGCTGCTAAACTATGTGTGGATGAGGAAGGTTAAATCGCTAAAATAGCATCCCAGACTGGAAGCAGCCAGGAGGGTCTGACCCATATACTGAGTGCAGGTGTTGTCAGCTCTGCATTCACACAGAAAACAGCTGACAACTACTAGAGTGCGGCAGTCTGCACCCACAGCAGGGATAGGCTTTCCTGTGAAAATGAGGTCAGAGCAGCAAACACAACCAATGTATGAAATGTTTAGTTTTTCAAATGAGGACATATTAAATTGGAATGCAGCAGAATTGTTTGTTTTTTATTGAAAACACTGAGAGACCAAAAGGATTACATGGATCCCCACTGAATATGCGAAGATGGGGGGAAAAAAAACACACAAAGTTAGCAATATGTATATTATGTTTTTGTTCCTTTTTTTTAGCCAAATCAGACATATCAAACAAATATGATAAAACTTTATTTATCTGGCTGCCAATGACATACGAACACACACAGATGTGTGATGCTAGCCACTTGAGATGACCTATTCAGGAGTGCACGGCCCATGCTTACCACAACAGAGTGAACAGCCCCTATCCTTGCACATGCCAGCATGGTGTAGACGAGCTCTGGGATCATGGGGAGGTAGATGGACACCCTGTCTCCCTTCTTCACTCCTGAGAACACAAAAACATGGTTATTTGAATTAATTTCCAAAGCAAAATCTGTCAGAACAAAATCTCAGATAATTCTAAATTATAATGGTAACTAGAGAGAGTAAAGATATTTGATCTGTGTTTCTGACAGACTTCCTCCTGAGACTGAAAGCTTCCGTTTCTTTTTCTTCTTGTTTGGAAACTAATATAGTGTTTTTCTTTAAGTTAATACAATTCATTATAACTGGGTTGTGTAGATGTTTTTACTAACTCTATATAGTCAGCAATTTACTTTGCTCTCTTTTTTGTATTTAATGATGAGTTACAGAATGGGTTTTATATATTTTTTGCTACCTTGTTAGCAGACACTTACACTGCAAACTATGTAATTAGCTTTCTGGCTATGTCTTTGCTAAGATAGTTTACATACCATGCAAGGTTACCAAGCAGCAAACTATGCAATTAGCTATCAGAATATCATTATATTACTCTAAAATGAGACACTCTTTTGATTAAAGGTATCTCATTGACTAATACAAGAGTAAAAAAACATGATTAAAAGCTGCCAAATGGAAACCTTATTACTTTGGAAAATAAATTAAATTAATATACTTAAAATCTGACAGAAAAATCTGTTGAAAATTGAGAAAAACTCCCTATATAACTAAACACCAAAGACACATTTTGAGATACTACATGCAGTTACTCCTTCATAGAACTACTAAGAAACCAATACAGTATTAAGGATAATAAATACTACTTTAGTGAAAACGATATGGAAACAACAGAAAATATTTTGCAAGAATGCTATAAAATCTAAACATTTTGTAAAAACTTTAATGGATGAAACTAAAAGTAGTTCATTTCCAGAGACACAATGAACTCTGTTGTTATCTAATCTTATGTTTTACAGTTTTTTATTCATAAACAAAGAGTGACAACATCATTGCCTGTCTTTTATGTCTTCCTAAATTGTTTTTTGATTTGTCTAATTTATTATTTCATTTAAGTGTACCTTTTCTGCATCCACCTGGGACTTGCAGAAATGTCAAACTGTCATGCCTATATTTAAAGCTTTTGTTACATAAATGTTTATTTAAAAAGATATCTAGCTATGCTACATAGAAAGCTAATTGCATAGCTTCCTAGGTAGCTAGCTAGATTGTTAGCAAGATAGCTCTAGCTAATAGACTAAATAGACTGAAAGATTTCTTTGATTTTTGTAAATTAGAAAGCAGAGAAAAATAGTTAAAACTTTTCTGTGCCAAATTGTGGTTATCAAAAGTAACATTTAGGTGTATCATTGACTAACCGTTTGCTAGATAGCAAGTACTAACAGGAAACGAGTGACAAACAAAAACATTTCAATTGTTTGGAATTCAAATTTGCTTTAAAGGTATTACTAAAATTAAATCTCAGCTTGTTAAAAATGATTTGTTTATCAGATACTAGAATGTTATATGTTTCCAGTGAAATAATGTAATGACTTCAGAAATATAAATGTGAATCACTTTTTTTTTTTTTCTGCTGTCATACAGTATTGGGGGGTCATTAAAACTGATGTTGTAATATGTAATTTTTAGTCTCTTAGGTGAGTTTCTCACCCAATTGTTTGAGCACATTGGCACAGCGACAGGTGTGGCTCAGCACTTGGCCATAGGTGATAGTCTTGTGATGTTCCGGCGAGTTCCCCTCCCTGGAAACAAAACAATAAACTGAACAATAAATTCAGAATTTGATTCAGGCAGTTTCTCTTCAAGGTCAAAGTGAGATTTTGTGTGTAGATAAAAATAATTTATGTGGATATATAAAAGAACTCTAAAAAATGTTCTAGGAGACATGAGCTTTTTATTGTATTAACTAAGTTAGAGAAGAACCATCTTTCCTTTAGTTAGCAATTAGTTTACAAGTTAGCATCCGTTAGTCAGGAGTGTGCATGGGTGCACATGGAACGGGTAAATAAGCTGTATGGTAAAGCAATTTGATCCAACAGTAGGAGCTGTGAAGTTGCTCTGCAGATTCTAAGCGTTCATAGCAGAGGCAACGAGCTCCAGTTGTTACTGAGTCTATATTTGGTTTGGATGTTTGTCAGGACAGCTATTTACAAAACCATGTGCCATTGTGACTGGAAAAAGCAGCAGACACATTAACTGTATCATTTAAGATAGAACACATAACCGTACTGCAGAAGCCTATAGAAAATGACAAAAAAATGGTAAAATAAGGTTGAGGAAATAGTAAATGTAACATGATGTTTCATGTTGTTGTCTTTTCAATTTTAAACTTCAAACATTGTTTTGTCACTCTGAGTGAACAACAAAAGCTTCTCCTATTCAAGTTCGGCTTGTTTCCGTTACCTTAGAATAAGATATGGAAATAATGACTTGCTCAACATGAATTAATACATTTAATTCATGTTTTTTTTTTATTCTTTTTTATGAACCACTGTTTCTCTTCCTTACCATTGCCAGTGTTCTGCCTATTCGTCAGTGTATTTTGCGAGTTTGTTATTTTTTGTTTTTCTTTGGCCATATTGCCTCAGTATATGTTGACTCTGTATTATTTTTTGTTATTTTCTTTTTAAAATTGGAAATATAAAATCACAAAAACGTAGCTTAAAATAATATCACAGTGTTTGATATCTTCGAGTAATATTTAGGGCTATAAATGTTCTTAAATATCAAGTTTACTTGATATTTAAGTTACTCGGAAATACATAGAGCTGACAACTTTTTATGTTGTTAATGATCATGATGAGTCCAAAATCGCAAAAAGAAAATGGAAAGCAGCTTCCTTATGTTTTTTTCAAGTGTGGCTCCCCATTATTAATTGAAAGTGGGTTGCCATGAAGTTCAGAAAACATAACTGAGGCGCTTCCACTACTCAACATTTTCATGTTCATTAAAAATTAATAATATCTACATAGTGGGAGCGTTCTGTGGAGGGATGATTTTGTTTTCATTATGTCCCCAATAGTGCCAATGTCAAAAAATGTTGGTGAGACATTCATTTCGCTGTATTTGTCATTTGACAGGATTAAATGTACAAGTACATGCACAGACTTGTGTTGTTATTATCTACCTGTCTGGCCCGCATGTGAGTTGGTTTGGTTCATGTGATTTAAGGTACAAAAGGTGTGGAACTATCTTGAAAAGAGAGTCAAAATTAAATTTGTCATAGATTTTCTGCTCAAATAATTGTATTCCTTTCATTTGGGTATTTTGCAAGTTTTTTTGTTTTGAATGAGCATTTAGGCTGATTCAAGATGTACCAGAGAGTTGACATACTTTCTGTCAGCTCAGTGTTTTAAAATCCTACCTTTAGTCATAACACATTTAAGATGATGGTCAAAACAAACCATGCAGTAACTGAAAGCTTGGAGATCCACTATTATACCTCCCTGCAAGCTGCGCAGAAAAAGCATATGCAACCAGCACACATAATGTGTGCTTTGATTTGGTGCAAACAGTATTGAAATGCCTGGATGATCTCCAGTGTGCCCATGTTTCACTGATCCCCTATACTGCTGAGCTGGTAGAGCAGCTGCTTCTTGTTTGCAAAGCTTCTGCAGTTGACAGAGCAAATATGAGCCTTCATATATTGTTGCAGCAACAATAAAAAGTACCACACAGAAATTCAAAGCTGGGATAAATCCTAAATAGAGATGCAAAGTAGGACAGTTGAAGCCATTACAATGTGCTGCTGCTAAGGTGATTTATCTGGTGTAGCGTAGTTGGCACTGGGGGCACAGCAGTAGTGCTTGGCTGGAATATCTGACATAACTCATTTTTTAAACTTACCAGTAATATGCAACCTTTTCCCCAAGGTTCCCTTCCTTCACATGCCTGTCCAACACATTATAGCACATGTTGGTTTTGGCTCCTTCCATGCATTTGACGAATATGTTGCCCTTTGTCACGTCAAAGTTGTACTGAAGCATTGGACCAGTTGCTGGCTTCTTCCAAAAGAACTCATCTGCAACCTCCTTCCAGAATGCTAAAATGTAGGGACTTAAGAAGTCATTTTTGGCATTATGATACAAACTCAGGGAAGTGGGGGTCTGACCTACCTTCTGGATTCTCCAGCGACTTCTTGTACATTTCCAGATAGGAGCTGAAATCAGGCACATGAGCATCCCTCTGTAGATCAGGAGGGGGGTGGTAAATTTTCTCCTGTGATTCAGGAACAACCATTTTAAAAGCACGGATAGAGACAGATATCTGTCATTAGAAGTAAAAATGGTTTGATCTGGAATATTTCCTGCTGTGTCTGAATCCTGCAGGGTAAAGTGAGAATAAGGCCTCCTGCAATGAAGCAACACAATTCAGCATGCACAAAGACCCACCTCTAATCCCGGATCTGCAGACTGCTCCCTCAGTCTGCTTAGTGTCAGGGAAGCCAATCAGGTCGTGGAACGGAGCACTCCCACTTTTTCATTGGATGAGCTTCCACTGGCATGTTGATCACATTATGTTTCCAAGCCAGAGGGAGGAGGAAGAGGAGGACGTGGTATGGTGCAGGATGAGTGCTTTGGATTCAGCCTGGGGTTTGTTTTCAGAGGGAGGGTGTTTGGCATCCATGAGGAGAAAAAAAACAACAACTGTCTATAAAGACTGATATATAATATTTAAACAGTGACAAAACACTGCTTATTACAATGATACTAAAGCATGTTTGTTTTTTTCTACATGTTATTTAAATGGTGTAATGTTTATTGTTTACAATAATATTCCCTTTTTAGTGTGAGCTCATATCTACATTTGACATCAGACCTTCATCTGTGAGAAAACAAGTTTAGCAGTTGTGAATATGAGTCAGAAAGTTAAAACTTTACATCAAGTAAAAAGCATAATTTCACATGTGATATTTGTACTCATAAATGTGCGATTGGTACTTGTAAATGTGTAATTCATATTATAAATGCCTCATTATTGTGAAAAATTTTTTACTCTTACTCATAAATTTGTGCTTTTAAATGTGTCATTCATACTCACAAATTCCTGAATCTGTGATGTTTGTCTTATTGCAAAGTTGTAACTCTGTAACTTGTATTCATAAAACATCTAAAGGTGTATTTTCACAGCTTATGATCTGATATTATATGTATCTATGAGTTAACAACAAGGAACACATACAAATCCTAAATGTGTTTGCCCTATAAATTTTTTTAAAAACATATACATGTTTGATGAGTTTATATATTGCCAGTTATCTTACCCACTAGCCTTTTACTTTTTGTGTTTGGGTACCTCTGTGATTAAAAGGAGAGAAAAACAAGGCTGCATTTGAAACACTTGAAAGTGTAAAAACACTTTTAAGGAGGCCATTCTACATGCAATGTGAAAAAACAGATAGGGAGTTTTGTTACCAAACACTAGATATTGCCATTGAGTAATCAACGGGACAATAATGCAGTCCATATCCGATGTGATCTGTAATGTATCATCAATCATTAAAAAGGCTATTTGTTGAAAAGTTGATCAGGTAAACAAGAAATGAGGAGCTGGAGGAGTAAGACATTTATAAATAATAGTCAGATTAAAGGCCATATGGCATAGGTATAATCATGGGTGATTCTAGACAGGGGCAAGTGCCCCTGTATTTCATGTCCTGGTCCCTGTTATGGCCCCTGTACTGAAGACATAATACCCAAAGACATTCTAATGATGATATGTGCTGGAACAGACAGGGTTACTGAAAGGTTCTTTGGATCTATTTCATGTGTTTTCTTTACAAATTCTGTTTTACTAATTATTTAAAAACAGTAGGGTGATAGCTTCAGTGATATTGAGATAGGATTCCAGTATTTATCTGCTAAATGTTTTTTTTTTTTTTTCAAAACAAATTTTTAAAAAAGCTAAAATTTTTACAGCTGAATTTATGAGTTTTTCTTGAATTCTAATTCAGATTTTATATAGAACGGTCATTTTAACTTAAATGAAGTCAAAAATATGTAAAATTACTCAATTCTGAATGTACGTTGACCTAATAAGACATAGAATTTTTATTAAACCTAATTGAATAGAAATTTCACTTAATGCACCCATCTTAATGTATTTGAATCCCTTGCCCTATTTTTTATTTAACGCTTTTCTGTGCCCCCAAGAAAACACTCTGGCCCCCTGGTACATTTGGTCTAGAACCGCCACTGGGTATTATAAATAATAACTGATATGAAACGTCGCTTTAATAAGTGGTGGTCAATCATCGGTTTTGAATCTGGTATCGATTTAGTTGACAGTGCAGCGTCTCCATCTGACGTCACAGACCCAGCCAATCGAGCGTCGGCGTTGATCTCCTCCACTGCGTCCTCACTCACGTCCTTCTGCTGCTAACACGAACCTGAGGCTCCAGGATGTTTTTATCTTCTGCTCTCCGAGCTACTGTTTCGCAGGGGGTACGTTGATACTGTTTGCATGCTGACAGTCTCAGTCAGGAACCTTAGGTCAGGTAGATAGGAGTGGAAGAGCAGTGACTCTTTACAAGGACACCTAGCATGGGCCGCTAAGCTAGGCTAGGCTAGGCTAAGGAGTGTTTGGTAACAGTAGCAGATAGCTTAGCTTCAACATGTCAGTTATTATTTAAAAGGTGATAACTTGACAAAAAAGACCGAATAAAGCCTATTTTACTTCAAATGCAAGGAATTGTAGGTAGACTCCATATAAAAACAAATACTGACATCTAATCATAATAATAGCAGCTAAACGGGAGTTTTTAGTCTTGAAATAAGCCGCTGTGTTGATTTAGCAAAGTATTAGCATATATATGTATATTTATCAAAGTATTCAGAGTCATCGTGTCTTTGTAGATTAAAATGTTTGCTTTCTACAGAGATGCATAAAAGGCCACTAACTCGTTTAGCACAATTAGACAATATATGATATATACATGTGTGTGTGTGTGTATGTTAATTTCACTGTTATATGTAACTTATGATTTACTTTTTTTCATCTGTATTGCAGGCCAGGCAGATCAGGGGTCTGCATCGGTCTGCTGCAAGAGCTGGAGCTGGAGGAATCTTTGTGGTCAGTTTACGTCCCACATCAACATGCAAAGACTGATTTAGAATATCATTTAATTTATAGGTTCTCATGGATTATAGAGATGAACACCAATTAAACTGCTAAAGTAATCAACTTAATCACATTTCTAGTCATTGTGGATCTGATCCTTGTGTATTCAAGAAGACTGTTATGACATATTCTCATTTTCTTTTTTTTCTAATTCCTTGGTTCTCGGTGATGGTAATAGACATTTCTCTGGCAGCTGCAATGTGTGTACATTCTGTACATTACATAATAGTGTGCTCTATTTCATCCCTCAATACTTCCAATATTAAATGAGCAGTACTACTTTCAAAAGTGAAAGCTGTAACAAATGATAACACCTGCTTTACGCCGCACCACAGTTTTACTAAAATCCTCCAAGAAGTACTCATCTTTCCATTTGCTCCTTATTTTTCCAAGCAGTAAACATTATTGACTGGCACTCAAGCATTTCTTAATATGGCTGCTTATTTCTTCTGCTAAGAGAAATCTGACAACTACTTGGATTAAAAAAAACAAACAAACAGCTGGATGGATGGGGTTTGAAATCGGATCACCTGCCAGAAAGTCATTTCCTCTTCTTTTCTGAGTGTATAAAGAGCTTATAATCGGTTTATTGTTAGATTCGTTAAAGTTGTTCCTGTATTCAGTGTTCGACAGTAATAAAAGCTGAGAAATGCTTTAAACAACTAATTTCAAGTGGTTAGGGTAACGTTTAATTTTAAAAGACACTTCCCTTCAATAAAAGGTTTCACAAAGGCCATTTGCTGCTCACAAGGGGGCAGTGTGTGCAGAAGCAGAAATAATAGTTGTTACGGGTCCTCTCTGCCATTAAAGAAAAACACCTGTTTCCTCTCTGTGTTTTTATGGCGCCTTCCTGGTTAATCTTTTATAAACCAACCAGCCATGTTTTGTACAAAAAATAACTGATATCAGCTTAATTATGTGATGGATAATGAACACTTAATATTGTCACTTAAAAACTAACAGTTATTGTGTTTTGAACTCTTTGTAACTTAGTATTTTTTATTCCTTCAGCATAGAGATACGCCTGACAACAATGCTGACACTCCTTTCGAGTTCACAGCGGAGAACAAAAAGGTATGGCTGGCTTCTCTGTTCAGCGGGACAGCTGACAGGTGCACTGATGTGGTTTAGTTTTGTTTGGCAGAGCAAGTCTGATCTTTACCCCAAGGGGTTTTATATATGTTTTTGTTGTGTTTTTTTAAAGCTCCTGTAAATAAATGTTCAGACCTTTCATATTTGCTTTTCTTAGCTTTACTGATTTAACAATGAACAGTAATGCTTTTTTTGTTTTAACTTTTATTTTTTTAACAGAGCTGCTAGGTGTTCAATAATTCTTCTTAGGATAATTCATATGAGGCTTTTTAGCACTGAAAATGTCAATGTAGTTGGAATTCATTGCATTTTTAAAACCTTTGGAATTTGTTAGATTAAACCCACTTTTATTAAAGAGCTGTCTTCTTTCTTTCTTTTTTTTTTTTTTTTTTTTGTTCACTCGTAGAGGATTGAGGCAATCCTTTCAATGTATCCCGAAGGACACAAGCAAGCAGCCACCATCCCGGTCTTGGATTTGGCCCAAAGGCAGCATGGATGGCTCCCCATCTCTGCAATGAACAAGGCACAGTCATTTCCCCAAAGCCTCTTATGCTCTGCTCTCTAATAACATCTTGGCAGCTGATTGTGTCTCTGTTATGGCAGAATTAGCAGAAATAAGATTGATCCCATCAGAGGTAGACCCCTGAACCACATTTGGCTAATATACAAATCGCCTTCGACAACAAAACTAATTAAAACCGCTGATTTAAACTTAAAGCAACAGAGCATTTTTATTTTGTGTCAAAATATATTAAAAATAGCTAGATTTCTAAAGATATGTCAGATTAAAGAATATTTTCTGAATTCTGAAAATGACATCACTTTACAATTTAAAACGCACAAAAATACAGAATTTAATCAAAGCTAAAGGCTACTAGAGAAGGTTTTCTGCTTAAGTGTGTTTGTGTGTGTGTGTGTGTGTGTGTGTGTGTGGGGGGGGGGGGTTATGAATTATTTCCTCTCTCATTTAGACAAATTTTTGTTCTTTTGTCCATTACCTTATTAAAATGTTTTGTAAATATATTTTTTAATGGAAAAAAAAGTTCAAAGCTTTAGACATTTTTAGCAATGCCTTCACTTTCACAGCTAAAATCCAGATACTTAATAATTAATTTTTTTGCCCAAAGTCTGGATAATGACCAAGTCGTACCGGATTTCTAAAGCTTTTTTATTGCTGTTGATTTTTATTCTAATAAGCTGTTCAAATTAGTTTATTCACATTTTATGGGTGTTTTAACTTGAACAGTGCACCCTCTGAATGCAGCTAATTGTTTTTGTTCAGGTTGCTGAGGTGCTGGGGGTGGCGCCGATGCGAGTGTATGAAGTGGCAACATTTTATACCATGTTCCTCCGTCAGCCTGTGGGAAAATACTTCATTCAGATCTGCACAACAACCCCCTGCATGCTTTGCAACTCTGACAGCATTCTGGAGACCATCCAAACCAAGCTGGGTAAGGGAGGACTTTTTCAACTTAAGAACAAAACAAATAAAGACATGAAAACTCAAAAGACTACAGACTCTCAGTTTTAATAATTTATAAACAAGATTAAGGTTTTTACAAACATGTAAATCTAAATGGTATTCAACAAGTAGTGGCAACAAACAAGATTACAAGAAACAAAACAGGAAACCAAAGTTCAGCCTTACATTTAGAAGATGATGCTAGTTTTTCTTTTCCTTTACTTACAGTCAAGTAGATATTACATGCTTTCATAATCTGCATAATTTATTTTCCCTTTTAATTTCTACCCACCTTATGTTTTCTCAACAGGTATTAAGGCTGGAGAAACCACTCCAGACAAGATGTTCACTCTGATAGAAGTGGAATGCCTGGGCGCCTGCGTGAATGCCCCAATGGTTCAGATAAATGACAACTATTATGTGAGTGCTGGGCCACTCTGCGCAGATGGCCTCCTTGCTGCACACTCTTAACTACATTAACAGAATTAGATTAAAAGCAGAAATACGTTTGTAAGGAATGCCTGCAGTGAGTGCAGCTACCAGCGCTGTTTCAGCTGCGCTGCAGTCCACACGCAATCAACAAGAAATAGTTTCGCTTCTTAAGGCAGATGTGACATTAACAACATGTTTTCTGAATAATTGTGCCGTTATATCCACTGGGGGGAAATTAGTAATTGAACGCTTAGCTAAAATAAACCACAGTTTAAGGAGAAAAAAAACTGAAAAACACTGAAGGTTGTTGTAAAACTGCTGAAATGTGATTACAAAAGTTAAGAGATCTTATTAATAACATAAGCAGTGGTCGTTCTGGGATGTTAGTGAGCAACTTGTGCTCTTAAATGAAATTTCTAGGTAATAGGATTAGGTAAGCCAGTATTTAGACTAGAGTTTTAAAATGTTACCTTTTTGATAAAGATTTACTGTACGTTTTTATACATCCAATAGAACTGTAAAGCAGACAGGTTTCAATGTCCTTTTTAGATTAAAATGCTTCCTGCATTGGAGCAGTAGGCTACTAGGATAGCAGTTTTTGCTCAAACCTGTTTTTTTTATTTTTTGGCTTCATCTCATAATAATTATCTTCATTCTGCTAAATTGAACAATTCATCTGCATAATGTTCTCTACTCCGTTGTGAATGTGTCATAAACTTAACAAAAAAATGAGATTCCCTCACCTTCTCAGATACGGAATGCTGAAAGTATTTGATTTTGTTTGATGTCCAGTTCAGAAAAGATGTTTATACATATTTCTTTGTCAGTTTCATAAAAATTAGTGAACTTTAAAAGCAGCTTCAGCTTTCCTGTTATACAGAAAACATTTTAAAGCAAAAAAGTATAAGAGCTTAAAATGTGAAGCAAACATCCTATTTCTATTCGAGATCGGGAAGTAATGTGCAGGTTTTCCACTAGATAATCTTTTTTTTTTTTAAGGTTTTGTTGATAAAGAATGTAATATTTCTATTTAGCTGTTTTAGACTAACAGAAGAAAAATAGATTTTGATATGGCTCTTGTTTTATCTAATGCTTTTTATTACAGTAATTAGTCCTATCTAGTTGTACATTACAGTGATCCTAAGGATGCAGTGGGCAGCTAACAGCAGCATTGGATCAGATTTACGCTTATGCTAGGAGACTGATGGTTGCAGACTTATAAACTGGGATCTTGCTGCCTCTCCTGAACCCAAACACCCTGCCTTTTAACCACTAGGCCATGGCTCTCCTGTATTTTAACATCAGCATGCATTGTTTTACTTTATTTTTGAAAATACACCAATTACTTTTCTTAGTTTTGTTTTTTTTGCAGAAACATTAGCTCTCTTTCCTTAGTTTCTTGGTTTGAGTCCTATTGAACCCGACCTTTAGCAAACCCATGAGCAGCAACATCTAGGGGTTCACACAAGGTTAGGGATACATCTATAGAGATGACATGGATAGCCTTATTTTTCCCTACAGTAACAACATTGACAACTGCAGTGTCTAACGGATTGATGCTTATTTCTCCCCCTCAGGAGGACCTCACACCAAAGGATATTGAGCATATTATTGATGAACTGAAGGCAGGACGAGTCCCACCACCTGGGCCTAGGTATAAACAACAAACACCCAATCAAGAAATTTCCACTTTCTAATCTTCTAATAATAATTTGTTTATCTTGTAGGAGTGGCCGTTTCTCTTGTGAGCCAGCAGGTGGATTGACTTCTCTGACAGAACCTCCTACAGGACCAGGATTCGGTGTGAGACCAGACCTGTAAATATTTCTGTGCCTCTTATACGTGGTACTAAGAAGGTTGCTGTTATTGAAATCAAAACATATTGTGTAAATAAAATGTTCATTTACCTGTTGTTTAGTTGCAAGTGTGTTTCCTACATTTACTCATTACAAGCTTTTGTCTTCAAACACTCAATACTTTATATTTAGGGCAATTTTTCCAAATTGTTCTGGCATTCTAATACATTAACCTACACCCTAAATCAAGATTACCTATTTATTTCATTGATTTTCTTTTTCCTTAAGTTGTATAAATACTAATTGAGTAGTTTTATTTTTGAAGGAAGATTACTGCACCAAGTTAATGAAAAATAGATATCCAGCAACAAGCCTCAACATTATTTGAATGTAGATAAAAGGAATTAAGCAAATAAGATTAATCAGTTTACCATGGTTGCATGAGGGGATACCTGGACCATAAAACTGGTGCCCAGGCAGCCAAGCTCCACCAGGATGATGGAACATCACCATGCACTGTCACCAGAAAGGTTTCTGTGCCTCTGGGAGAGCCACTGATATGAATTTCCTTGATCAAACCAGGAAACAGATTTCTTTAAGGGAGGCCTGATGCCTATTACCGCCCATCACTACCATTCTCTGAGCAGCAGAATTTGTGGGTTTCCTTGGCAGGAAGGATCTGGAACCATTTCCAGGCCTCTAACCTCGCCTAACTCCAGCAGAACGTATCTGAGACATCACATTTAAGTCAGAGACTCCAACTTGTTGAACTTCTGACTTTGTAGGATATCAGTGATACTCTGGTCTGGATCTAGGAGAAGATGCTTGAAGAAACAATCCTCATAAAAGCAGCAAGTCCTTATAACTGCAAGCAATCACTATGCATTCCACACAAGAGAAAAAATCCACAATTTGTTTTGTTGTGTTTTAGCATGCCAGCACACCTTTATGTATGAATCCAGTTCTTTAGAACCAGCTCAAACTTAACTTTTGAACAATGCAAAATTCATTGGCAAACATATTTGTCTGCTTGTATGCCTAATTCCAAATAATTACTGGAATATAACCATTACCTTAAATGCAGTATTTCCCTGTAATATCCTTTAAAATAAAGAACATAAATTGTGTTTAGCCATTTGGCTTTTCTACCGTCCACTCCCAGAGTGCCGCCAGATTAGCTTTGAGCTAATATCGTAACTCTGGTGTGAAGGACACCATGGTTCTGCAAATGACAGGTTGATGAAATTAAGTTACCCTTTTTCAGAAATGCACATTCAGGCATAACCAGTTTAGCAGAGTATGAGCAATGATATTTACAGTGAGCACAACTGAAAAAAAAAAATAAATCTTTGCGTAGTAAAAATTAAACACTTTTTACACAATTCCTTGCATAGATTTATTGTTGAAGCGCAAGATTCAAACATGTCATTTTTTGAAATGACTAAGAAAAATGCAAATACACCAGCCTTTGCAGTATATTTAGTGCAATAAGACTACAGATACAGTGAGGAAAATAAGTATTTGAACACCCTGCTATTTTGCAAGTTCTCCTACTCAGAAATCATGGAGGGGTCTGAAATTGTCATTGTAGGTGCATGTCCACTATAAAATTCCAGAATTCACAATGTATGGTTTTTTTTTTTTATCTATTTTTATGATACAGCTGCAAATAAGTATTTGAACACTTGCCTATCAGCTAGAATTCTGACCCTCAAAGACCTATTAGTCTGCCTTCCCAATTTCCACCTCCACTACATTTATTATCCTTAATTAGATGCACCTGTTTGAGGTCGTTTGCTGAAAAAAGACACCTGTTCACCCCATTCAATCAGTGAGAATCAAACTACTAACATGGTCAAGACCAAAGAGCTGTCCAAAGACACTAGAGATAAAATTGTACACCTCGACAAGGCTGGAAGGGGCTATGGGGAAATTGCCAAGTAGCTTGGTGAATAAAGGTCCACTGTTTGACCAATCATTAGAAAATGGAAGAAGCTAAATATTAGTCAATCTCCCTTGGATTGGGGCTCCATGCAAGATCTCACCTCGTGGAGTCTCATTGATCATAAGAAAGGTAGGAAAACAGCACAGAACTACACAAGAGAAACTGGTCAATGATGTGTAAAGAGCTTGGACCACGGTTTCCAAGGTTACTGTTGGTGATACACTAAGACATCATGGTTTGAAATCATGCGTGGCACTGAAGGTTTTCAAGCTTAAACCAACACACGTCAATGCCTGTCTTAAGTTTGCCAATGACCTTTTGGATGATTCAGAGAAATCATGAGAGAAAGTCATCTGGTCAGATGAGACCAAAATAGAACTTTTTGGTTGGAGGAAGAAGAATGATGAGTACCATCCCAAGAACAAAATCCCTACTATGAAGCATGGGGGTGGTAGTGCTTTAGGGGCATTTTTCTGCATATGGGACATGTTTACTGCATTGTATTATGGAGAGGATGACCGGGCCCATGTATTGAAAGATTTTGGGAAACAACCTCCTTCCCTCAGAGCATTGAATATGGGTCGAGGCTGGGTCTCCCAACATGACAATGACCCAAAGCACACAACCAGGATAACCAACAAGTGGCTCTGTAAGAAGCATATCAAGGTTCTGATGTGGCCTAGCCAGTCTAAACCCAATAGAGTCTTTGGATGGAGCTCAAACTGTGTTTATCAGCAAAAGCCCAGAAACCTGACTGATCCAGAGAAGATCTGTGTGGAGGAGTGGGCCAAAATCCCTCCGGCACTGTGTGCAAACCTGGTGAAAAACTACAGGATACGTTCGACTTCAGTCATTAATAATAAAGGCTACTGTACCAAATATTAACATTGATTTTCTCATGTGTTCTAATAGTTATTTTCAGCTGTATCATATAAATAGTTGACAAATCATACATTTTGATTTCTGGATGTTTTCTTTTAGATTATGTCTCTTACAGTGGAGTTGCACCTACGATGACAATTTCAGACCCCTCCTTGATTTCAAAGTGGGAGAACTTGCAAAAGAGCAGGGTGTTCAAATACAGTTATCTTTAATGTATATATCACCAAGATGGTGACATGTCATTGTTCATGGGTTGGACCTGTCCTTCAACACTACATCATCTGAGCATGCTTGGCATTTTACCAGCTCCTCCCTACATTTACCACATGTATGCTTGTAACAATCAACATAGCGCATGGTGGCGTGAATTGCTGCACCAAAGGTTCACCAGGCGAAACGCCCTTTTCCCACTAGGAAGTCCACCCGTTTCTCCTGCACCCCTGTGCATGCCTTATGGAGCGCGTGGGCATTTAACGCTGCTATGTCATGAATCCTGAACCAACTGTCCTCCAGTGTGGAGCGAAGGGTGATGAAGCAGCGGAAGCTCTGTAGGTCTTCTGACTAAAGCTGTTTGCTCTCCATCTTCTGTGGCGTACATTTTTATTTACTTTGAAGGAGAAGCTTCCCGATCTCTTCTTCCGGGCCCACACTGCCATCTTCCCCCTCTGTTGGCCTGATGTGTGTCACCAATTGACCTCTCTTTTCAAGTGGTGGTGAGGTCTCTTCACCTGTATTGAAATGAGTCATGAAATATCCGAATGATATGAGCAATGAAAATTTACAAATTTAGACAAAAGTTATGATTTGAATTATAATTCCTAAATATCTCAAGTTTGCCACTTCTGTATTTGTTCAGGATATATTTTTTTTATGTTTTCCTAAAACATAACTACCATAATCAGCAACTAAAAATTGGATGTTTAGGAATGCTCACCAGAAGAAATGTCAAAGTCTGAACTCATCTGAAGGTCTGTCTTCCCCACCCGAGTTGCAAGACTCGACTTGGTTCAGGATCATGTCCAAAGCCGCCTAAACAGTGTTTTTTTGTGTGGCATTTTTGCTTCTTGGCTTACGTTTGTAAAGTATGAAACCAGTGAGCGATTATGTGACGTTGTGTCAGATAATGTGCAATCACATGACTGCTGTCTGTTTGCGCCATGGCATAAAATCACCTACGTGCATCGCAATAATATAGCGAGACATTTACTAGACTGATGTTATTCAAAATGATTTGCGAATCTCCCAACCAAACATTGCCTACATATGTTTGACATTCAGATGGGGAATTAATACAGTGCTATGTTGCGAAAAGTTCTCTTGTTGTGGTCCAGGATCCTTAGAATTTCCCTGCTAGATTGTTTCTGATGATACAAGACTACCAAATGCCAGATATCCCTTCACCTTCAGACCTTACCTACCATAACCTGTGCAATTATTTCACAAATATTTAAGTTTACTTTTTAGGAAAGGCTGGCGAACTATAATACACTGGGGGAAACCCTGCACACTTGGTAAACGATTAATCTTTCCATTTTTTAACTAACATCGGACGGAATTTCCACACCTCTCTAAATGAAAAAAAAATCCCTTCCAAAATAATTGAGCAGAATACCTCACCGTTTAAGAGGTGATCGCTACAAATTGTGCTAGTTGTAGTTGGTTGCTAGCTCTGTCTCTTCACAGCAGCCACCCATCTCACTTGCCTTCCCGGGTCTTTAGGGAAGCGATAAAATGAGATGCTGTTTTTTCTTCCTTTTCGGTTGATACACCCATAGACATGGGTACACGCACTCACTAGATTACCATGTTTTTGTTGGTGTTTTCAAGATAAAATATAGAGAAAACTGCAATAGCTGCTGGTCATGCTCTATGTATGCACTCTTCTTTTCGTCATCTGAGGAGGAGTTAGCAGGTGTCCCTTGTTTACAGGTTCACACCCACTTTTCCACCACACTGCACCCAGAAAGCCTGCTTTTATTTCTCTTCTATTTATGTATATTTTCAGTAAAAAAAAAGAATAGATGAAGAATAGATGAAGATAAACATACGTAATTTAAACTACTTAAAGCAAAGCACCCCATGTCAACTCGCACACTGGAGATGCATAACACAACACTCCAGCATTCAGAATTTCGAAGGGTCAAACTTTGTAAATAAAAAAACAAAACACTAGATTTCTGTCATGTTATACCAAATTTCGTCCGAATCCAGTTAGGTTATTAATAATGCTTATATGAGCACATTTGTAGCCAACAAACAGCAAATCTGAGGGGATCTTAAGACTAGAGGCAGACAGTTTAGTTTTTCTTTTACACCCTTACAACATAAAACATGTATAACTTACTCATAGAATTCAGAGCTTTGTCAAAGAGCATACAAAAAGGTTTGGTGATACAGTGGAATCCGCTAATAGTGGTCACGGATAATGTAATGAACCGCTTATAGTGTTCAAAAGGCTTGGGACAGAATCATTTCTATACAAATGCTGTTTAAATTATTCGTTTATAGTAATCAAGAAATGCACTTATAGTGTCATTCTTGGCTATTTTATGAATGTAAACGTGCCAAAATAATTTTAAAAATTACGTGTAGCCTAGTTATTTTATTTTTTTACTCCCAAGATTCCTTTCTGGGCGTCTGCTTCTGCCTAGCTAGCTCACATAAAAAGTTGACAACCGGACAAGTAGAACTAGCTTGCGAGTCATGACCGGAAATGAACGATGAAGAAGAGGAGACTGTATTCCCTTCCAGAGCTGAGGAATGCAGTTTGCATTTTAAAGACTGGTCTCCTGCATGTTGGTTTCCAAAACTTTGACCTTTAAGATCGTTTTGAAAAAGAAGTGAACTCGGTGTTGGACAACACTCTGATCCAGGGAACCATAAATAAATATGTGAAGTGATTTCTTAATGCGGTGCAGCAGATCCGCAACACAAAACAGGGGTAAGCTAGCTTTAATTTTTTGTAGCCTATGCAGTTATCTTCTATTTTGTTGTTGTATGTTTGTTTCAAACTTCAGACTTGTAAAAAAAAATGCACCAGCTGCACCAAGCTACCAGAGTTATATCTGCGCAGAACACTGTAATTAAACTTACATGGTACTGTAATAAAATTCAGTAGATGCGGAAGCTATCCATTTCATTTCATTTTGCTCATTGAAAAACCAGACAAATGGCATTTAGATGATATTCTGCATAAAAATAAGTGAAATAACTGTAAATTCCCATATAGTAATCAACCGCTTATAGTGTTAAAATTGCCTCTGGACGAACGTGACCATTATAAGCAGATTCCACTGTAAAATATTCAAAAATTAGTAAAAATAAGCCTAATCATAAACTTCCCTACTCTTTTTTTTTTTCCAACATTCACATAATATGTTGTTGAAACTGGTTTGATTTCATTGATGCAGCCTTTTGGTTGTTCTCTTGGGGATGGAAGTAGGAGTGAGAAAATTCTGGGTTTTATTGTACATAAATGCCAATTTGGCTGAATTTATGAATGAATGTGGGCTAATTGTAGTCATTTCTAACCATGCAGCCTTTTGGATGCATGGTAACAGGTGTAATAAACCTCTGGCTTTTCAATTGTTGCAAATGATCACTAGAAATGTTTATATTTTTGTATTTATCCCTATGCGGTCTACTGAACTACTTTAAATATGATTATTTTGGTATTACTGTTAATTAAAATGTTAACACGAGTGTGTGTTAGTATGTAATACTACTTTTGTCACTGCTTTCTTAGCTCTACATTAATACCCTGGTGGCTTATTTCCTGCTCAGTATGTCCCCCTCCCCCACCTCTCTGCTCTAGACTGATCTGCAACATTATGCCCTGCGACGCATGCGCACTGAGTCCGCCCTGATGCAAATGCCACTGCGCAACCAGTTCAAAGCTGACTCATTCACACAAAGAAATGGCGGGCATTAAACGAGAACAGCACCACACAGTCGTTGGCGCTGGGCCCAAAGTAAAAGCATCCGGCTGTAACATTATTAAATATATCTATTGTGTAACCTAAGCAGCCATCTTTCGAGAAAGTTCCTACTGATAGCGGCACAGCAGCGGAAAAGATGACGTCAAGCGGCCATTCCTGTCGTTGTCTCCCTCTCTTCGATACGAATTCGCCCGATTAAAAAGGGGGGGGAAAATGTGTATTCGTTTAACATTCCGCTAATTCGCAAAACGCTAACGAACAAAGAACACTAAAAGTTATAAAAAGTGAGACTTACTCACAGCTTCGACAAAATACCACCTAAAAAAAAAACGTTTGACACATACCCAGCCAGGCTCTTTCCAGCAGACGGAGGTCTTATAAACTCAGTAGGGACTCGGGGGGTGGGTCACGTGACTCGTCTCGTCCAATCGTGGCGCCCCCTGCGTGTTTTGCTAGGCTTTTCTCGGGAGCGGACGACAGACGAACGGCTGCGATGTTTTCAAAGGCAGCGATGAACGTCACACAGCCGTAGGCTACAGTTAACGCTACAATATTTAGAAAATAACTGTTAATATTACGTAGTTTTAAGTTATAGCGGGACGTGGATGAGTCGGTAGAAACGTCTGATCCGGGTCGAAGGTAAGCGCGAGGCAGTTTCCTGATAGTTTTTTTGGATCAATGTTGAGTAGAAATCCCAGTTAGCCGTTTGGCTACATTACAGCGAGCTAACTTGACGTAAACTGCGTGCGAAAATGAACGTTTAAGTGTTTGCGTGGGCTCTGTATAGTTGTGCGCCACGTGCCTTACACACATTGAGTAGTTTATGACATCTAGACCGAGTTACTTTAGTGTCTTTCTTTTCTGTCGTGGCGGACTGCTTGAAAGCGAGGGTTCAGGGAGCAGGTAGGAAAATGTCGGAGCGTAGCAGCTGCTTTCAGAGGCAGTCAGTCAGCGAGGCAGTGACGGGCTGGAAAGGCTGGGGAGGGGGAACGCTGTGAGGGCAGCAAAACGGGCTGCAGTGGGCTTTTGTCTCCAGCATGCTATGTTTTCTATGTTCATTATTGCCTTTTAAAACATTACAAGACCACGCTTAGGTTGTCAGAGAGCAGCAATCGTCTTAATATTCATATATGAACGGCTACAGGTTAAATTCTATAATTATCCGTTGCATGTAAACAAAAGAAAAGGTTTATTTTTGGAGAATTTCTTGGTAACAGGTTTCAGTGGGTTAAAAGAAAGCAGAGCAGCATAAACCCTGAAATGGGTGTTGGTGTCTGCAGTGATCTTGCCGCCGTTTATTTACTAAATTCCCCTTTTTTTGGAGATAATCACCATCAGGTCTGGTGTAATAGGGAATAGGATTTGTTGATACACACAGGGAACTTGCTTAGTTGAAGTAATTAGGAGCCTGATCCTCCTAGAGCTGGCGACTCTGTCATCTTGGGGGTGTGTTTGCCTCATACAAAAGCTGTCTGTTTTCTTTTTTTCTTTTAGAGGACTGGCTAGGCAACGATCAATCCGATTGTAGACATAAAGCTATAAAGGAAAGTGAATAGATGAAAAACATCTGTGTGAATTAGTATTTCATAAAGCTTTCAGATTTCACTTTCACATATTAATATGGATATATACCTCAAAATTTAGATAAAACTTGCAGTCTAATGTGACAAATGGGAGGTAAATGTATTTTTTTTTTCCTTTTTAGTACTGTCAAAATGAACATTAACATCTACTATAAGGTCTTGTGTAAACCAGAGGAGGCTTTTACAAAGATGACTGCAGATGTAGCTGCATGAATGAGGGCATTTGTTCTTTTCATTGTCTTAGAAATACAAGAGCTTGATTTCGACTGTAGTCGGTACGCCGTTCAATCGCTGGGTTTAATTTTTTTCCTATAATGGTTGATAAATTGAATATAGGTTTATACCCCAGCATTTGCTAAAAGCGTCAAAAATAAGCCTGGAAACTCCCTCCTTTTTGGTTTGTAAATGCATCAAGAAACACCCTTTTTTCGTTAGTAAAATTCAGATAGAGGTCAGTGACTTATGCTTTTAAGCTTAAATGCCAATCATGCATTTCCTTTTTTTGCATTTTTTTCCCTTTTAGGCTCAAAACAACTTAATGTATCCCGAGGCCATAAGCACAAATTTTAAAGTTCATTCCATTTGATTTAATTGAATATGTTCATATTGGTTAAAGTCCTTACAGAGAAAATCTCTGCTGGGCAGTTGTGCCTTTAAAAAACGGTATTTATGTTCCTGAAAGCCTGATTGATGCATCTGTCATCTTTATTATAAGTCTTATTTCTAATATGACCCCTTCAAACGGGGCTGGCCGATATGGCCTAAACATGAAATTTCAGATTTTTTTGCTTTTAATTCGAATTACGATCTATATCCGATTTCCCCCTCCTAACTTATTAAAACCTCTTAATATCCACCTGATTGCTGCTGCTCCGTTGTGCATATCTACATTAAGTACAGAAGCGCGCTTGAAAATAACACATGTTAAACTTTTACCAATACAGACATGTTTATACATCCTTGAAAGCTTAGATTCTCCTCAATTCAACAACTAAGTTCAGTGTTTGGACACAGTGAGCACCAAAGCACAATTAATAAAGATATAGCAGCGTATTAAATCAGAATTAAAATTAAGCTTTGACTTCCTACCTTTGAAGCTTTCCTGAAGCCATATTACAAGTCCAATCCTAGGTTGTTTATATTCCATTTCTCCTTAAGGGTCCATAGATAAAAAGTAATCCAGCATATTCATAATAAAAACATTCCATGGTGAGAAAATCGCCACATAAAGTATGGTTTTTACCATCAGAAAAGTCCCACCCTTATGGCTAATGCTAACTGTGTTGCTAATTACCCGAGCTTCCACAAACGTTTCCAGTTTATGTTTTTGTATGTTTGTTTTAATCACCTTCCAGTCTAGGCTTCTAGCCGAGCTTTGTAACTTCTCACGTTCACCGCCATGATTTCGCTTGTCGACCTGCACCAGTGGGAGTATAACTCCTGCTACAGAAGCTCTGGGGAGCCAAAATTGCGGCCCTATACAAAAAAAATATTTTCATTTTTTCAAATTTGCCGGCCACAAAAAAATTCTAATTAAATCATTGAATCAATTTTTTGCCCAGGCCTACTTTTCAAGTTTATGCTTGAAAAGGAGTGTGGGATTTGTTACACTAATGATTTACCTCATCAAAAATGTGCATGTTTTCTAAGCCAAAACAAGGCTTTGTTTTTGGTCCACTCTATAAAGCCTCAAACTCAACGCTATTTCTGACATGTAAATTGAAAAAGCTTCCTGGATGGGAAGCAAAACATATTCAAACTTGGAAGCAAATTCTAGTGGATTGTTTTTTTAACTTTTTTGAAATCATCAAAAATAATTGAGTTTCACACAGAAATAACCAGTGTAGGTTAAATTTCGGCAATTTTAAGGTCATACCACAAACTCTTAGATGAATTTTGTCTAGATTATGATAAGGGCCAATCTAGATGTTTTTATCTTTTATTTTGTTTAGTGATTTCTTTGGAATCATTCAGAACAGGGGTTGTTTGTTGGCATTAACCATTGGCCATACACTCTGCTCTAAGTTTTTCTGCGACAGATCAAAATTTGAGCAAGTCAAGAGGTCTTAAAGCTAAGCAGCCTAACCCCGGGATACTACTGAAAACATTTGTCATCGTCCTCGCCACTGATTCTGCCAAGCGCCCGATTCCACCGGGAGTATTTCAGAGTGGAGCGGTTGGACTCGAATCACCCTAGGAGTTCTTCACAGCGCAGTATAGTAGTATACACATGCAGGCTTTAAATGGAACAATAAAGTGGCCAGTACAAACGGAGTGGCGCATGCCTGCTCTTTATCTGGTCACCTTACCCTTCAGGCTGGGCTTTTCTTCATTTCTGGTATCATCTTATGGCAACCTATTTCCTGCCTGAACTATCATCTCTAATCTAGATTGACGAGGACTTGTTGCTTCAAGTCTGAAATATAGAGCAGCTGCATATTTTAGGGAAGAGTCCTTCTGACCATGCCTCTGGGATGCTTTCAAGAACACTCCGCGGCGCGCCAGGTGCAACCACTCTCATTGGCTAGAATGATTGTGTTCAACAGCGGCAGCTGGGCGTGGACACTCTACGGATGATCCAATGTGTTGGCGCATTCCGTGGGGTAAGCCCTCCAACCTTAGAGGGCTTTAGGCCATTATTTTCTATTACTTAATTGGGTCAAGCAAGGTTACAAGGGGCAACTGAGGTCTACAGCCCTTAATGTTTACTCTGAGTTACTTTCTGACCTCCTGGATGAGTTGTCAATGCACTCCTGGAGCTTTTCTGGTAAGCAGGTCGTTCCTGGAAAGATTCCCCATATTCCAGCCTTTCTCTGGTTGTGAATAATTATGCAACCGGTGTTGATTTTCCAGTGAGGCTCCCTCCAGACGGCGAAAGTAAAAGTGCACTGTCGTAAATATGCACAGCTGTTCTCCTGGTTTCTCTGTCAAGCCAGGCGCGGTTGTTTTGAGCTTAGCAGCGAATGACTAACGCTGCGTTCACACTGGACGTAGCTGGCGCGACAGAAGCAGCGAGTTTACATGCAAAGTCAATGGTTGACGCGCGTCAAGGCGCAGCAAAAGGTCCAGCGGCGCGTTTTGAGCACCAGGCGCAGCACGTCTGAGCAGCTGAAGCAGCGCGTCGGGTGCGTTTAACGCAGGGAGAGAGACACAGCGCTGATGATCACTCCTCTTAAACAGTTTATTGACGCCTAAATTAACTTAAAATGCAGAAATCTGCCGGCAGAATATGCAGTTTGGATTATTTAGATGAAAAACACCTACCAGCTGCCGCGGTGAACCTCTGCTGATGAAGGGATCCATACTGTCGGCGCCCCGCTGGTATGTGGGGGTCTGAGCGGCTCCGACAGAAAAAATATTGAAGGCAGGATAATAATCTGAATGAACTGACGGCACTGATTACGTTTTCAGGTGTAGTTTCTCACTTAAACACATATTAAAACTACTTTATTCCCACTGATCACAGCAAATATAGCTGCAAGGCAGAGAAAGGATAGTGAAGCTCCGCCCAATGCGCGTCAGACACACTTTTGCACCGCGCAGCCAGAGCAGCAAAGCTGCTTCAGCCGCGCGTCAGAACTAACTGGTACAAGCAGCAAAAAGGAAGCAGCAGATGTGATTTTGCTGCTTTTGCTGCGTGAACGTAGCATAACTGCACAAAGATTGCCACTGTGCTAGCAACGAGAATGCTTTTAACTGGGGGCGTGTAGCAGTTCTCGCCGTAAAGCAAGACTGACTCTCACGAGACTTCTGAG